TCAAATCACAAATGCAAAACAGCCATTATTGTATTTACTCAGAAATTTTTTTTCCGTTTACTAGCTCTTTACATTTTCAATTGAAACATGCATTTTTTTCAGGGTTCAATCTATGCTGGCACATTCTCTTGATAAGCTTCTTTCATCAGATGCTATTCTCAGAAAGGCTGTCTGAGTCTACATTTGTTTACATTTATTAAAAATAGTTGTCATGTGTTTATGTAGTTCCTTTGATCCAGAAAAATCCCCAAACACTTTGTAAGTTATGTTTAAAAGGGTCACTTCCTCCACCCTGAGCAGAAACCGTGTTGGGAGCAAGGCATGGCAGCAGATTAAAAATGCATGGAAATATCACTATAATTCAGTCGGTCCCCACTCCCTCAGAGCACCATCAATTTTCCATCAGCTTCAGAACAGTTACTGGGACCATAAAAATGGTTTGGGCTTCGGGGGCAAAAAGGAATGAAAAGACCATCTTCCTAGAGATTACATATTTTTCATGCACTTTTCTTTTGTTTTGCAAATAAAGGAGCAGTGGTACCTACTGCACAAAGCATAGGGCTGGTAATATCTCGGCTAGATCTACCATTTCCAGTTTGGGGCATCTCATTGCAGAGAAGATGCAGATCCAGGGGAGAGTAGAAGAAAGGACGGAGGGAGAGCACCTGAGGACTTGAGGAGAAAGGAGGAGGGAATTGTTCGTTTAAAAGACAGAAGGCTGAGGTGAAACATGGTTAAGTCTTCAAAACACATGAAAGGCTGCTGAGAAGAGGAAAGGAATAAACCTGTCCCTGGGGACACGAGAAGTCACAAACTTGCGCTGTAGCAAGGAAAATTTGGTGAAACATTAGACAGTAACTCTGAACGTTGGGAATAGTGAAATGCTGGAATAGATGTCTGCAGGGACTCTGGAATTGCTATCATCGTAGGGGTTTTTTGAGATTGGATTAGACATAAATGTCAGGAAGGGTGTAGCTCTTGTTCCCGTCTTTGGGACAGATGGGCCAGAAAGTCCCTTTTGGTCCTGTCTTCTGTGATTGTGCTGTGGTGTCACATGTGGTCAGATGAGCCCTGCTTACATGTATAAGCCAAGTCACACTAAAAATTAGCTTGTGAGCTCCTTGCAAAGTCCTTGCAAGCTAAACCAGAACAGAAATTCCCCCAAAGGCTTGCATGTGTGTTTGTTTTATTTTTCACTGCCAAAATGCTCCCCAGTCATCAAGGTGCTTCAGCATGCCCCCAGCGCAGAGGACTTGAATCGTGTAATTGGATTCAGTAGGGTCTGTTCACAAAGCCTCTGCCTGGGGCCCCATTTTTTGGGAAAGTTTTACATGTTCTAATGATGGTAAGACAATGTATGACTAATGCACTGATTTGAAAAACTGCCCTATTATCTGATCAAAAGTACAAGCTCATGAATATGATACCGCAGGTCATTTGGCTAAAAGATACCTGGAGTCTTCCAAATTTTTAAAACAATCCCATACACAGAAGCAAAAAATAGAGGTACGAACAGTGGAGCCAGTGGTTGCCTGTTCACCACAGATCATATGGAATGTTTTATTAAAGATATTTTTATCAGACACAAAAGACTGAAATACAGAATATCCTGGGCTGGCAAGAGAAGGCGTGATAATAATTTAGATTATTATCCCTCAGATCTGTGATTCATTTTTATTATTCTCTATGTTCATTTCAAGAATGATCAAAACCTCCCTGAGGACAATGGAAGTTTCCAGTTGAGTTCAGGGGACTCTGCTGCTGCTTTCATCCTTAGGGAAGGTCCAAGGGTCAGTGAGATCCTATGTGCACATGCAAACATGCTCAGAGGGAGTTTGGAGAAGTCATGTCCTGATGCCAGGGCCACCTCTAAGATTAGGTTGTATCCAACCTGGCTGTCTAGGTCCCCTCTGTAACCCCTGGGAAAAGAAAGACCCTGAGCAAGAGTAAGTACCCCCTAGAGACCTGCGCTGGAGTGAGGTGGACCACCTTCTGGAGAGGTTTCTCTCCCCATTCCCTATAGAAACAGCCTGGTTACAAACTTGGAGCTTTTACAAGTTTTGTAGCATTTGGTAAAAGGGATCATCCTCTTTAAATATCTCTAACCCACCTTGTTAGTCAGGTAGGATGCTAGAAGTAAAGTTGCATTTAAGAAAATGCCCTGTAGGGATAAGCTGTGATTCATCTGCTGTTATCATGCTTTGTACACATTAATGGAAGCGGCGTGTTCTTCTCTTGTAAAGCACTTAAAGGCTTTTTAAAAACAAACAACCCCACTGAACAGTATTTATCTTAACAAGGAAGCCTTTATAGAAATCTAATGTCTTTTGACAGGAAACTCTGGGATTTTAAGTAAACCATAGGGTTTTTTTCCCAAAAAATACTTGTTTTCAAGGGCAAAAAAAAAAAAACCAACAAAAGACCAACAAAACATTTCTGGCAGTTGACTAGAAAATGGAAAATTCATATGGAAATATAAAATGTTGATTTAAGGCTGCTTTAGGAATCCCTTAGAGGTCGTTTGCTGATGAATGGGCTCATGATTCTTTTATGGGTTCCCTGGCCAGCCTGTGTCCCCCATCGGACATCTCACACAATACGTCCCCGAAGTGCGGAAGGACAGCTTGCGCAAGGGACATTGCAGCCTCAGTGGAGGATCAAGCCCATAGAATGTTTCAGGAGCAGGATACACCCAAACTGGAAGTCTAAATGGCATTTTAGCAATGTTTTTTAAGTTGAAATTGAAACCCAGACCCTCCTTGCAGTTTGAAATTTAGTTTAGGGCTAAATTGTGTATTTCTATAAAGTGACAAACAGCAACTAAAAGACAAGTACAAGCAGCTACCCATACTTACCTTAGGGAAAACTGGTACAGGGGAAAAATCCCAAAGTTGTGAACCCGCTGTCAGTGTTGCCAGATCTGTGCACCACAGCGTCACTCAACAGGATAAATGAGATGGGGATCAGAAGTTGGAGCATGGCTGCATTTCTGTTGAATTACTCAGAGCATGCAGTCCCTAGTTTTGTCAGAAGTATGCTTTAAGGATGCTTTGTATTTGCTGTGAGAAGGCCGTTAGTGCTTCATGTTACATATATTACAGGAGCTTGGATAGACAGCGCCTAATCGGGTATCGTTCTTGCCAGCGCTAAATTAACCACTCAAAAAAGCTGGACAAATGTGAAACAGCGGCGTTAGCTTATCCCAGATCAACTCTTTGTATTAAGTGACTGCAGCAGTTTTGATGCAATATAGCAGACGCGCTAAAGCTATGTGTCTTGTATCATCAGTTCCAGACATAAACCAACCACTCACCATGGGAATTTAGGTAAGAGCTTTCTCCAGCAAGGTTCAATTTCAGAATTTTCTATTTACAGCAGTTTGTTCCTCTGGAATGAGCAGCACTGCTTCTCACTGTCAAAGACCTAATACTGGTTCGATGGATTATCTGCTCCCCCAAAGCAATTCCCATGGCTTTCATTCTAGACTGCCTTTTCTTTTTACTCACACTTTAGTATTCGCACATTAGTTAAGATCACTTCTAGCTACAGAACAACCATCCCACCTGGAAGATGAGATGACAGTATAAAGGATGAGGGAAGAAATTAAATTAATTATCCCAAAACCCAGGGTGAAGTGTAATGTGCAGTGTTTGTCTATTAGACTTGATGTTGACCTGCGTGTGTGTTTACCAGTGCCCTCTTTTGGGTGGACCCTGATCTTCTCAGTTTGTGATTGACTCAACACATTTGAAGCATCTGAGCTGAAGGCTATCTTGTTATTGCTTAGACAGAAAAAGGCAAAAGCCTTCGGTGCTACTAAATTCTATTTCTGTGCAAGAATCTGGAGTAAGGTATTGTTCCTTTTATCTGATATTATGCAAGGAGCAGCCTTTTTCTTCCAAGGTCACTATCTAAATATTTATAGGACTCCATAGCTTCTTACCCCATAAAAAACTTATTTGACAGTCATTTTCAGTGCCTCCAAATCCCCTTTATGGAAGATTTTAAAAGCAATCCAGTGAATCTGCAGGTATTAGTGTCACATCTTGATTCCAGGGGAACTTGTCTTTTTTCTCCTTGCTCCTCAGCAGAATGCCTTGTTTTTAACTCCGGAATCCACCTTGCACAGTTTGCATGCTTGGTTGTGTTGCTTCATGACAACTGGTGGATTATGGATCATTCAGTAATGGATGCAATGGAAGCATTTTATGAAACAGAGATTCCAACGTAAAACTTCCAAATCAATTGTAAATGGACCTTTTTGACCTTCAGTGTCATGGGAATCATGATGAATTCCAACCTGCAAATTCAAATCAAAGTACTAACTCAAACTACAATCAATAAGCAATCACACTGCTGTTGAGGCAAATACACAGACAGGGAAACTTCACCCTGAGCCTGGGTTTGGCATTGTGATTTGATCCAAAATGGCTTAAAGCCAGGAAAAGAAACAAACCTGCTTGGTCTCCTCTGCTCAAGATTGTCAGTTGTGTAAGGGAATCCTGAGAAATACTTTATGGCTTGTGAAATAAGGGAAGGACATGTTTTGCGGCCTCTCCTGGACTTAGTATCCAGTCCATGGTGAGTAAGACATGTCTGTGAGACATGGCAAATTTTGAGACTTTTGGTGGCAAGAAGGTACCTAAGAACATAAGAATGAGGTCATCCCGGGTCAGCACAAAGATACATCAATCACAGTCTTTGATGCTGGCCAATAATGGATGCTTAAAAAAAAAAGAGTGCAATAAGTTCTATGTATCAATAGTGATCCCTCCTGTGGCTATATTCTACCAGCAGGCAGAAGCCGAGGGACATCCTGAATCAGCGCTGTTTCCAGGTCTTCACGCTTATCAGCCCCTGAGGCTCTCCCTGCTCATCTAACGTGTGCAAACAATAATTGTAATTGTCACCATTGTTATTACTACCACGTAGAATGACAGCTCACGGAGCAGAAATAAGGGTTCTCCTGTTTAATTTCCTTCTTTTGTGTTTTCTTTTAGCACCACCACGTTGCCTTCCTATATCAGGATAACCAATGGCTACATCACAGTCAAACCTCCCATTTGGATTTCAAACCGCCTGGATCAGAGACCGCGTTCAGATCGCCCATCCCAGCCTCAGCCTACAAGCTCAGCTTCAGCCAGCGTTTTGTGGCCATCAGTAACTTCTTCTCTCTGCGTGGCCATAGCTTCTTTTCTCCTGAATCTACTGCAGCCTTCCTGACCACATTAGTATTACGTGCAATCCCTTGGAATAGAGAAGAGAGATAATTTATGAACGAATTGGAGGTTAAGACAACAACCATTACAAGCTGGACCTTCTCAGTGAATCAGTAGTGCCTTCTAGCTGATTTTGTCTCTTTGCCCAGATACATTTTGAAACTTTAAAGCTTTATTGTAACACTGACTTACATCTTCTTTTTGTAGAAGGATCTTTATTTCCCATAGTGCTATGGGGTTTTGTAAAATATACATGTTCATATAAAGAAAAAAAAGAAAAAGAAAAAATGTATTTATTCAACTGGTAAACTTATTTTTTCCTGTTGTATATGTTAATAACATCCCTATTAATCAGTAGCGATGGTGAAACAGATAAATTAATATTTTCTATATTTGTCTTCTAACTGACACTGCAAATGTCTGAACTGACACCAAATGAATGGCTTCTTTGTTTCTTTAACTATTACTTTTTACAGCAACTGTCCAATAAGGTCATATCTGCTGAACTTCTTTATTCTACTTTTTTTAAAATCTCATTAGCATAGCTTACACTGAATAAAGCAGATCCTGCTCTCTGTGGCCTATGCCCATTAGAAAAATAGGTGCATTCTTAACTCAAAGTAGCTGCTACAACCTAAAATCCCAGTTATTTTTATATGACTTAGTAAGTCATTAGTCAAGATAACCCTCTAAGTTCTCCTGTTGTCTTTAACTAAACTATTTAACTTCTTTGGAAATTACCAATTTCCCTCTTTGCCCTGGGATTAATTCATTAGCTAACTCAAATTAAGACAGCTTCTTCTTAATAAAAAATTGCTTTTAAAGTCTGGAGTAATCCCACTGGAGTTATTTTCTTCTCTCCTTCATCTTATATAAACACAAGCCTACAACCTTCCCCAGCATAAATGAGAACAGAACTTGGTCTGTCTGTAGGGTATAAAGATATAGTATCCCGTTAATCTATAGAACTTCTTTGTACCAGTTGTATTAATGCAGATGGACAACCTGGAGGGCAAAAAACATCTACAAATTCCTCTTCATCTTGCTATTATTACGCTTAGAGCTGGAATCTCCATGCTGAATTATGGATTGTCCAAAACCTGTTCAATACCACAGGAACGAAATTAACCCCTGTGTTGTGCAGATGTACAGAACATTCCTCTGTTTGTAGACTATGGTACTTCTGGTGACTTAGATGGAAATGTTATAACAACTTACAGTCACTGAAAATGTACCCCCAATCCGAGCAGCTACTATTCCTGAATGCAATGAACAACATCTGTGGGGAAAAAAAAAAATCCATCTTAAAAACTATTACATTTAATAATGCATCTTGGGTTTTTTTTCCCCCAGCAAAACATGATGAAAAATCCCTTTGGATGCAAGCGTTTCAACCAGAAAATTAATTTTGGTTGAAACAGTGTTTTTCTAAGTCATCTACAAACCAAAAATCAAAAATATGTGATGAAAGCATCTTAGTTAAGGAAGAAGACTCAAAAAACCAGAAAAATAGATTGCAAACTTTTTTTAACAAGGAAGCAGTGCTTTTTCACCTTGAAAAAAAAAAAGATATTATGATTATTATAATAATAATAATGATAAAAGTCTGACTGAAAACAGTTGCATTACGTTCCCAGCAGCCCTGTCTCATAGTCCCCAGGACTGGAGAGAGGATTCCACACAATCTTAAAGTCTCTGCAGCAAGAGACACTTTGGGATTCATGGTTTGTTTGTCGTTGTACCAGTTCATTCAGGAAAGTAGGTTAGGAAATAATTAGACTACAAAAGACACAAAGTTTTATTTGAAACTGTGATGAAATACTGAGCTTTTCCATCGCACATCCCAACCCTTTGCCTTGCAAAGGCCAGGGAGAATACAGATAACTTCTTTTGGACTTAATGCACACTGTGATCTCCAGCCTTTGCTCTATTTTTGGCAGCAGGTTGTGTAGATTTGTGGTCAATTTAAGTGGGTACAGCAGACAGTGCTATAAGCTAACCCTGGTTTTTTTCAAGCACAACAGCTGATAAGGCTGAATGGAAAACTTTGAGCTTTGCCCCAAATGTGAGCTTCGAGCACGCCGTGTGCATACTTTTATATTGTGGATTTTGGCTAGCAGAAGACTCGAGATGTTAGTTTTGGATAGAAGCCATTCACCTTGCATAATATTTATTGCACGGGGCTGGATATTGGAAACATATTTTGAGAACTTTCATTTTGGTTTTATTTGAGTTATTACCCTAGAAATGCCTTCATTTGAATATAATGGCTTAACAGACCTTCAAATTCAACCTTAATACATTTTAAAAGGTGATTGGCTCTCCTGCTGTATTCAAGACAGAGATCAGAACTGAATTATAATGTCTTATTTATGAAAATGGAACTGGAAATAAGGTAGGCAAATCTTAAGGTTGATGATAAGTTACATAGTAAAAGTGAACGGCCAATGAACCAAAACCCATTGAATTTTATTTGTAATCTAATCGAATCCAGAAATGATTCTGTGGTACCATGATAGAAATAATTCCAGGTGTTGGAAAACTTACAGTATAAATAGACAAGGCCACATAAAGATAAGGGAGAGAGAAAAAAGCAGAAAACAGAAACAACTTGTCCAAGATTGTAAGGAAGAACACCAGTAGGACCAAGAGTAGAAACTGCAGTTTTACGGTTTCCCAACCTGTGGCTTTCTCCATATGCCTCTGGGGCTTTTTTGAATACTAGGAGCACACAGATACCTCCACCATCATTATACTCCACAGAATAGTCACTGATGAGAGTTTTTTCCTGAGTCACTCCTCCACTGGACAGTAATATTCAGTATTCATTAGCTCAGATATCAGGGTATGTTTGGATATCACAGGATGTAAATAGCTTGGCTATCAAAGTATGTTTTGACGTAGTTGCATTTTCTGACATTTTGTCCGTCATCCCCGTGAAATGAATGGCTGTTACTGGAGCTCACCGAATTTCCTTTGCGCTGGTGCCCCCCATTTGTCGTACTGCAGCGCAGGTGTCTCCTGGCTGTGGGGGTCAGCACACTTGACTTCTGCCACCTAAAAGCATCCCGGTCATCTGAGCTTCCTCTGGCTAGGGGAGAAGACACGACTTACAAATATAAGATCAAGTAGCTTCCCGTAGATCCTAGCTCAGGAGCCCTGCATGAATGGCTTCAGCACAGTTCTCTAACCAAACATTTATTTTATTCTGTTGTCTTACACTAAGGTACTATTTACAGTAACTTTTTTCAATCCGTGGCATGCAAGCATGGCAATACAAAAAATGAGACCCTCACTGTGATTGATAAAATGGATTATTTATTAATCAGCTAGAGCAGCCCAGTATTAATTAAAATACACTAATACTGGTTAGCACAGATCTATGCATATCCATTGCAACGGATTGTGATTATATTCACCACGCGTTTTAAAAGTGCATCAGATTTGGTACATGCTCTTGAAGTAACACTGACTATCGGCTTCGGGGGACTTCAGTTTTGTCTGTGGGTTTCTCGGAAAACTAGGAACTGACTGTTTCCTTTCTCCGAAGGAAAGCTCAGATTCCCATGTAATGACAAGATTCCAGGACCAGGAGATTTGACAAAAAAATACTCATGCCCGCTACGTATAATAGCAAATACCAGTGATGCTCCTTACCTCTGAGAAACACAATCAAGAGAGTCACGCAATGCCTAGCCATCAAGGACAGGATTTTGGATGAGTCCAAAGCTGAATGTTCGTAAGATTCATCTTTTCAACGCAGCTACAATTGACACCGATACAATTCACATTATATATAACTGTTACATTATAAATGAACGCTAATTATCTGCCAAGCTCTTGCCCTGGTGGAATAAATACCCCATATCACCAGCAACAGCTCTAACTTCCATTCTTTCATTGTTTTGATGCTTTTCTTGCCTATGTTTAACTATGGATGCTATATTAACATGCATTGCCACTCAGAGAACCAGTTGGTAAGCTGGGACAGAAGGTATTTTATATTTTATGACTGATGTAGTTTCTCTGCAATCCCTCGGGCTGTTGAATAATGCAATACCTCTTCTGGCAATAAATTATGAGCATGATTTATGATAACTATGCTTTATACAGGTGTCAAAATCTGCTTTGTTGAACTTCCCTTCCCATTCCTCCAAGCTCCACTGTAATTCAGGAACACCCAAGGTACAGAGCTGTATATTTATCTAAGTTCTTCAATATACAGTTGTGGAGAGGGAGAGAGATGGAAAGAGGGCAAACTTAATCTATGTTTAGTGCATTGATTAGTCAAATTATATGACCCAGTCATTACCATATACCACTGTTATGGAGGAATTTCCCATCATATATTTATGTTAGAGAAACCAAAGTGCCAAAGTTATTAGCTCAGCATAAATGTTATCATTCCAAACTTTGCTTAGTACCATATTTCTATATTATATCCAAAAAGCATATGGGCTTGTTGTATCTCTGAAGTGATCAATGTTCCAGGGAGTGTGCTGGAGTTCAGCTTCACTTTAGGCTTGTTTCAGCTTAACTGAAGCAGAAAGGTAATCGCCTGATTTCGCGATCACAGGGTGTACGTGTCCGCGCACACGCACATGCGAGCACGCGTGCACCCGTGCATCTTGTGCGCCTGTGTTTTGTCCCAACCCAAATGCAACTTTTCCTGTGAGTAGCTCAGGAGGCACCTTAATCTAACGAAAGGCAGAGAGGTCTTTCCAACAAGTCACCAATACTTTTCTTCAAGAGGAATGATTAACCAGCCCGCAGATTCATGCTCACACTGCATTTTAAATTGCACGTTTGTCAGTTTTCAATTCAAATGTATTTCAAATATTTTTTCCTGTTCCGCCTCCTGCTTTCGTGAACTGTTTTGAAGAGTGTAATAAAAAGATGCTTTCTAATATTATTTTGTCAAAATATTTTTGTAGCATAATATATTAATAAAATGTTATTATAAAACCATAGCACAAGAATCTTGTATGTCTAGGTTCTTTCCTT